AGCCAGCGGGCGCAGGACCCGCAGGGCCTCCTCCATGCGCTGCTCCAGGGCCAGGCGGCAGCTCTGCAGCTCCTGACGGACCTCGTGCACGGCCCCGCGCAGGGGCTCCTCCCGGACTGGCTCCTGGGCAGGACCCACATTGGGGACCGGCGCCCCGGGCATGGCACCAAGGGGCCGCTCGTTCCTTGTGCTGCCCAAATGCCCCGAGAGAGCCGAAGCACCGAAGGCCGTCTGGCCTGCTGCTCCTCCTCTGCCACTGCTGTGCCGAGACAAAGAGCTCTGCCTTTTATAGTGGCGGCAGGACCTGCGCAAGCGGGCGGAGGGCTGGGGGGTCTCGGCGTGGCTGTCCTGCTCCTCCTGCCACCGAGGGGCACGCGCCGGCCCCCGGGTAGCTTTCCAGTGACAAAGGCAGCGTGATGGAGAGGGCCAGGTGGCCGAACGGCCGGCCAGGGAGCAGGCAGCGGGGAGTCGGACCCTCGCCAAGCAGCCACCTTGGACAGGGGAGGGGTGCCCCCTGGGGGCTACGCAGAGCCTCACCATTTAGAAGGGACTTCCCGCAGGCAGTCCAGGCTCCAAGCAGCCGCCTGAACACACCTCTGTGACCTGCTGAGCCAAAAATGGGGAGCTACTTGAAGCAGCCCCCGCATTCCTCAAGATGTGCAAACTGATGTGCACATGGCTGCGAGCAGAGAATTTGGAGAAAAGGCCACGAAGGGCTGAAAAGCAGGAAGCCTCGAGCACGGCGGGTCAGGGGCATGGGCGCAAGGGAGGGGAGGCGGGGAGGCACCACTGTGGAAAAGAGCGAGAGAAAAATGCTCAGCAATGCATCAAAAATGGGCAGTGGGTTATAAGGCCAGGTGCATTCAGACCCTGCCGGAGCCCCAGTCATCTTCCTCGAAGTGCACCTGGTCCAACGAACGACGCGTCCCTTGTGCGCGCGGAGGCTCTGTGCCCACTAAAGAGATGAGCGCCGCAACTGAGGAGGAAAAGGAAGCAGGTAGGAGGCAAACCCTGCCAAAGAAGAATTCCTCCGTCAGGCTTTGGGGATCGCGCCCGGCACTGTCGCCAATGACCGCCATAAGCACCAGCGTTGGCTTTTTCAAAAAAGAAGGAAAGCAAGCGAAAATATGTGCCAAGGATCTCCACATGCCAAATTCCACACCCAGTGACCAAATCCCAAATCTCAGCCGCTCAAGGGAGGCAAGCAAGCAGCATGCCGTTTGCCCCCTCGGCTCAGTCACCCCTTCCAAAGACGGCTGCAGCTGAGACGTGTGAAGCCGGGAGAGACTCGGAAGGTCGGCAGTGATGCAACTGGAAAAGCTCAACAAGCACAAGAATGTTTCGCTGGCACCCAAGGCCAAGAGCAGGTGCACTGCTGGGTCCCCAGTCACCAGGCCGGGGTGTGCAAGCGGGACATGGAAGGAAGTCCATGTACCCAGAACACAGAACATGGTGCTGGAGGAGGATTTTGCCAGTGCCCTTGACTGACAGAAGGATGAACAAGCGGGCCCGCGATGAAATCAAGCCAGGGCTTTCCCAAGAAGCAAAACGGACAGAACTGAGGCGGTTGTGCTTTGGGCAGGAGAAGGCAGGACTCCCTGGAGAAGATGATCATACTAGGCAAAGTTGGAGGCAGAAAAGAAGAGCAAGTGAGAGCAGGATGGACCCCAGAAAGGATGCCCCAGCCTCAAGCTTAGGACCGCTGAGAGGGCTGCCATGGGCTCTGGGGGGCTTTCATTCACAGGCTCACCACAATTCAGAGACAATTGCCGGCGCAGAACAACAAAAAAGGACCCTGCTAGATTCACAGGTATGGGAGGGGCAATGGCTCCCCGAAAATTAAGAGGGCAAACGGGAAGCGGCTTGCCTTCTCCGCGCACCAGCACAAGTTTACTTGACGTCAAGGGCAGACAGAGGACCCAACCCGCATTCGAACCGTGGCGGTGGGACGCTGCCGCACAGAGAGGAGCAAGATCCAGCAGCCCTTTCCTCGGCTTGCTAGTTTTCCGAGTGCAAGGGTCCCCGACCATGGAGGGATGCTTAACCACCCGGGAGTCCCCTGTGTCCGAGCATTGTGGCCTTGGCACAGGCCGACCAGCTCTCTGCTGTGGTCTGGGGGCCACGAGGCTGCCACGACCACGGGGCCAGCCCCTCTCCCACTGAGGGGGTTTTCCCAGCCCTGGGATGCAGTGACCAGTGGATGAGTGGGGAGGGGGAGGCGGCAGGGGCCTCAGAGGGCCTGCCTGGCATGCGGGAGTCTTGCTCCTGGTTCGAGAGGGTGCAGGAGGACCGCTCTGCTCACCTGAGTCACCGTTTCCAGGTTGAGCTCCGGCCGGGAAGGCAGCTCTGCCGCGCCGCTTCCTGAATAATGCACGGCTGGAAGGGAGATCAGGTTCCCCGGCCTGGCAGCACACCTCACCGTCCTGCTCACCCCGTGCCTGGCACTCCTCAGCCCACAGGCGGCCTCTGCTCCTCACGGACGGCGGGCCTCCTCTCCCCACTGCCCGCCCGAGGGCCTACAGGGCCCCGGCCTGAGGGCTTTCTCCCCGCCTCACCTGAAAGAGGCGCTGGGGCTGCCCCGAGACCACCCCCAAGCGCCGTGCCGTGCGAGCGAGCAGCGCCGTGCGGCTCCTCCTGCGCCCCCCCCCCCGACTGGGCCACCGGCTAATACCTTAACGAGAGCCGACAGGCGGGCAGGGACTCACCGGATGAAGCATTACCCTGATTAGCCGGGCAGAGGGATTGTGCCTGCCTGCTCGGCACCAGCCCGAGGGCTGCGGAAGGGCCATGCGGGGGGTGGGCACCACCAGAGGGCTGGGGGCTTGCCTTTTGAGGACAGAAGGCACCGAGGGCCGTGAGGAGGCCGGTCCCACACGTCCCAACAAGCGCCAGGTTTGCTGCACTGCCCTGGGGGCTCGGCCGCAGCAGCCCAAAAGGACAGGGCAGAGGGGGTCACGCCACGGGGCAGCCGAGGCCCCCCAGGGTCCACTAATGTCAACGGCAATGAGAGGCGCTGCCTCAGCCATCGCAGAACAACCTTGAGCTGCTGCTGCTGCTGCTGTGGCCGGGGGGGGGGCAGGAGGAGGGATCACACCTTCCTTTGGGCGGGGGAGGAGTCCCGCCAGCTTGGGCTGGCTAGCCCTGGGGAGGGGGCACAGCCTTCTGCAACTTGGCACCCTGCAGCTCTGTGGGGAAGGCAGCTCCTGAGCACACAGCCAGAGGACCCGCTGACGGCGCGGGACCTAACGGCCAGCGCAGGCACCCCCCGCATGCTTCTGAGGCTGCTGAGATGCCCTGGGCACACAGCTGCAGAGCGGCAGGCGGGCTCCGCGACCAGCCCGGGGCAGGTGTGGGCGGCTGCCCCTGCAGCGGGACCCGTCCGGGCGCTCACCCACGCTGCAGCCACCGAGCTCGTGCCCAGGCCAGGATGCTCGGGGGAGGGAATGTCCTGCTGCCGGAGGTTCCACATCCTGCACCCTGCAAGCATTCTGCCAGAGCAGGCAGTTTTGCACATTTTTTAAATTTGCCGCAATTACCCCCGTGCTGGTGGTCATGAAAGGAAAGGCAAAAATAAAGCTGCATTTGTGACTATGCGCCATCACGCTCAGCCTCCCTCTGGCTTTTGAGGCTTCAGCAGGTGATGCCCACACCCTTGCCAGCATTTCTTGGCAGCCTAAGGACTAGAAACGTGCTTTTTGAAAGCGCACTCACAAAATGATTCCAGTATTATAGTCCACGTTACTTTTATGGTCCTTTTGCAGCTACTGCAACTTCCTCCTCCTTCTGCCCCGGACAAGCCTGTTTTTCTCCTGCTTGGTCATAACGCGTCATTCAAACTGTTTCTTTTCTGCTGCCCTGGAGAAATCCCCTGCAGAGTGGTGCTCAGCACCCCCCCCCCAGCTCCCCCATCCAAGTGAACGACTGTCCTTCAATCTCATGGGGACAAACTGCCCCTACAACTGACACCCGCTCTTGCAAGGAGATGCGATGGGTCCCCCTCTGCAGCACATCTCTGCCCCTCTGGAAGCTCCCACCTCCTCTCCCCGCGGCACGAATCCTGCAGTTGGTGTTTTGCTTGGCCTGACACCCACCAGGCAGGCTCACGCCAAATGAACACAAGCACCACTCCAGCGAACCGGTACCTCTACTGTTTGAGTACAGTTCCCAGCATCCCCCAACCAACATGGTCCAGGACAGCCTTCCCCCTCTGAGGTGTGGGCCTTCAGTTCCCATCACCCCAGCCTTCATGGCCAGTGGACGGGGATGCTGGGAATCATCACGCTAGGCGCCTGCGGAGGAGGCTAGCTAAGGCACACGCTGGCGCCACAGCACCGTCTTTCAGCCGCGCTCCGCGGATGCTGATCGCAGGCGGGGGCCCCGTGGCTCTCCTCCCCCGTGGCGCCTGGGGCTCGGGTGCAGCTTGCTCTCCCAGCCACCCAAAAGACCATGGATCTGCTGCCGGGAGGAGGTCAGCTGCACTTCCGGGGAGGGCTCGGGGCTCCAGGATGGAATCTGCCTGGCCTGCGGAAGGCCCTGGAGCACAGGGCACGCCGGAGCCACATTCCGAGGGCACGGTGCTTCGCACTTGCATCGCTTCTTTCATTTCCACTCTGCCGGCCCTCGTTCTGCATTTCCGCACACGCTGTTGCAGCTCCCGCATCTGGAGCACTTTCCATCAGAGCGAAACACTCCTCTCCCACCTCTTTATTAGTGCACCATTCAACAACCAAGTTCCCTGAGGGGCTCCAACACTTCTCTCGCCCCTCCAAAGGGAAGCTGTCCTCCCCACCCACCCATGCACCCCCCCAGCTTCAGCGCCGCGAGGAAATCCAAACTGATGCTGGGTTTCCCATCTCTGCGAGAAGTGGGATGTTCAGAAGAGGGAGGGAAACCGAGAAACACAGAAACAGAGCAAGTCAGAAGGGGTCTCCTGGGCCATCTAGTCTGACCCCCGGCTCCAGCCGGCTCCGCTCATGACAGGAAAAGGAGAAGAGGCTCACCTTGAGGACACTGGTCCCGCCGCCGCCGCCATGGCTGGTTGTGCCAACACTGCCAGTGCTGCTGGTGGTGATGCGGATTGGGGCACTTCTCAGCCCCAGGGTGAGCTCTGTGGGGTGTGGAGACGGCACGGTTGTGGGACCCAGCAGCCAGGGCAATGGCACGTGGGGGGAGGGACAACTGACCATGTAGAGGGGTTAGATGGGCCAAAGAACTTCAAGGCCCCCCCAAAGGTTTCCCTGCAATTTGCTCCAACACAGGGGCCATGCTGCCCGCTACCCCAAGCCCCTGGGCTGGGAGGGGTATAAATCAGATCTTTTAAAAGTGTAGAGCACTCCTCATCTAACCACCACAACCCACCCATCCAGCCCCCTCCTCCCAGCACAGAGCCCCAGGCACTGAAGTGCATGAACACTTGTCGGATCCAGCACTGAAAAAGCACCGAGGCACCCCTTAAAATTGTGATTAGCACCCCAGTATCAGTCCAGCTGCTGGCCTCTTTGCCTCTACCACTGTTTACAACATTCAGGAATGGGCCCAGTCTGGACAGGGGGGAAGAGTGGTCAGGATGGTGGGGGCGACCCACTCACAGCACCAAAATAGGCTGCTGCTGGGAACCACCTGGCCTCTTGGAGAGCTGGAACCACTCCAAGGGAGCTGGGCTTGGAGGGTTTCATAAAAACAAAAACACTTTCCACTCAATCATGCAAAATACAAATTCCAACCCATCTGGCTATAGACAGAAGTTTATCCTGGCAGGCGGAGGGAAGCTTTCCAGGTCCCAGACAAGACCTGCTCTTCCACCCAGCCCCACTCACTCTCTGGCCAGCCCCTTCAGCATCCCTTCCCACCACGCCGGTTACCTGGAGGAGGAACAAGAGTTCCCCCCATCACCACCCTGTTGGCCTCGTGAACCCTTGGGAAGCAGACCTGCTGCCTTCCTTAACAGCTGGACGGAGGGGCCACATGTCCCCCCATACGGAAAGCCAGAGCACAGGGAAGGGGCAGCTGGCTCGGGCTGGCAGCCACAGCGTTGCCCTGGTCCAGGGCTCAGCCCCCCAGGAGGCCATGTGTGTTTCCCACCCCACTTTTCACTCCCTCCTGGAGCTCCAGCGGAGCTGTCAGCTAGCCAGGGGCTCCCACCCACCCAGGCATCCCTCTCATTTTGGTTCTGGCTGGTCTTACGGCAAAGGTTCTGTGCTTCAAAAAAGAGGCAGAAAGTGAGCACGGAGGTGCTCTGCACAGGAGCAGTCGGGGTGCAGGGCCCCGTGCTCTTCCCACCCCAACTCACACAATCCTGCCAGCGGCCCTCATCTACCGGAGCGGAGCGGAGCGGGCGCAAAATGCAATTTGGGGAACCTCGCCTGCAAAGCACCTGCTCCCGCCTCCGGGGCACGGGCTGTTCCTGCTCATCCTCTTCCCCTTCCTCGCAGCGAGAGGCCAGAACACGCTGCTGGGCCCCGCGACCACGTGGCCGGCCACGGCACCCCCCCCGCTTCGCCGGGCACCACCGGCGCCGCAGCACGCTCTCCCGCAGCAGGCAGCCGTGCCACTCACCTGCCCGCTGGCTGCCGGGCGCGCCCACGACGCGGCTCCGCACGGGCTGGCTGCGGCCATCCTTGATCTCGATGGTGAGCAGGGTCTTCATGGCGCCCGTGGGGTCGGGGCTCAGGGGGCGGGCCGGGGGCGGCGGGGCGCTGCTCGGCGGCGCGTGGGGCTGCTCTGGACCCGCACGGCCGCCCTTGGCGTTTTCAAGCGGCTGCCGGGCAGGGGCGAGCGGGCTGCCCGGCCATTGGCTGCCCTGGCTCCGCCCCCGGGGACCGCCCGCCTCCGGAGGCCGCCCAGCCCCAGCCTTGGCCGGAGAGGGCTGTGGAGGCTGCCCTGCCCAGCGCCCGCCGCCCTCCTGCAGCGCATGGCCGGTGCCGGTGCCGGTGCCGGTCCCGCCACCGCTCGGGGCCCCAGCAGGTGAGTCCGCCGGGCGCGGGGGCTGCAGAAACCGCTGCTGCTGCGGGGCGCGCGGGCCCCTGCCGGAGCCCTCCCCCTTCTGGGGCACTGGCGAGGCAGTCCCCTGGGCGCGGGGCTCCGAGCTGAACTTGCGCGCGCGCTCCCACACGGAGCCGGACCTCTGGCAGGGCTTCTCCGGGCGAGGATCTGCAGGGGAGGGGGCGGGAGTGGAAAAAGCAAGACGTGCTTGTTGGCATGGAGACCAGGACGCGTTTACACACACAGCTGGGAACCTGGCCAGGCCTCCTGGGAGCAGTTTGGACCCCGGCAAGAAGTGCACTCGCGCGCCTTCCCTTCCTTCCCTGCTCGCCCCCAGAGCCGCTGCGTGGCCCAGACCCCCCCACCAGGGCAGCCCACTCCTTCGGCACCCACAGGGGCTGCCTCGTCTGGGGGGGCAGGGAGGGAGGGAGGCAGAACCTGGAGGGGTGGGATCCCGCCATTAAACGGTGCCCCGCAGGTACAGCCACGCGAATGACCAGCTAGGCCACCTGGTGCCCTGCAGGTGCTTGACCTGCAACGCCCAGAGGCCGCCCGGTGCAGCCGAGGGCCAGGGGCGGTGCTTGCAGTCCAGGCCCCCTAGCACACATGGCTGCGGGCTGCTGGCCCGCCCATGGGGGGGGCACAACCCTCCCACGGCGTTTCCCAGACACCCAGCAGGAGCTTCCTGCACACGGGGCAGCCGCAAGCCGCAGCCCAGCTGCACCTGCCCTGCCCATGGAGGGCTCTGGGTCCGGCCCCTGGCGCCCCCACTGAGGCGAGAGCAGCCCCTGCCTGCCCACGCGGAGCCTTGTGCTCCAGCCGGGGCAGCTTCCGCTGTTCCTGGGCCACAGCTGCTGAGCCAGAGCGGGGGCTGTGTGGAGAGGCCGCCCAGAGTGCATGAAGGGTGGGCTGTGGCCGCCGCACGTATCCTAACACCGGGCGGGCACCAGGTATGCTGCCGCGGGGATGATGAGCAGGAAGGTGCAGCCTCCTGGCCTGCTTGTGGGGTGGCCACTGCGTGGGAACACGGGACAGGAAGGACCCCCTCCCAGGTCCGGTAGGGCTCGTCAGTCCTTGCCTTGTGGCCCTCCAGATGTTCCAGCCTGCCACTTCTATCAGCCCCAGCCAGCGCGGCCAGCGGTGAGGGATGATGGTCCCTGAACACAATGCTGGAGCTGCCTGTGGGAAAGGTGCCCCTCCCCGTGTCCAAAATCAGCTTCCCCCAGTCTTATGCCCCGCAGGTGGGTGGACTGCCAGTTCCGGGGCACTGGGTTGGGAATGCCTTCCTCTCCAGGAAGCCCTGGGGAGCCCTGTCCCCCGTGCCCGGGGGTCCCACGGAGCGAGGTCACAAAGCAGCCGGAGAAAAGCAGGCCGGAGGGGGGCCAGGGAGTCACCTGCGCTGGTCTTTGGGAACGGCGCAGGCCTTGTGGCTTCACAGCACTCCGTGTCAGTGGCCGCTGAGCTCCTGGGGGTCACCTGCAGAGGGGCTGCACAGGAACGCGCCGGGGAGGAGAAAGAGCAGGTCAGGCCAGGACCGAGTAGGAGCTCCTCAGTCCCCCTCGGTGTCACATTTGGCCACGGTTCCCTCTCAAAGGAGCTCCCCTCCCCACTCCCAGCCCCCTTTCCATTCCGGGGGCCGCACTGTGCAGGCCCTGCCCGGGTCTGTGCAGCAGCCTTTGCCCAGGCCGGGCAGGCCGAGTCGGGCGCTTCCACCCGTCCTCAGCTGCTCGCAACCAGCTCCAGCAGCGGGGAGGGGGCATCCGCTGCAGCCCCCGGGGCCGGGCAAGGCAGCGATGCAAATGGCGTGGGGCCTGGTCCAAAGGGGCATCACTTTGCTACCCCAGCGCAGCCCTGCCGAGATCACTCGCCCAGACGCACGCGTGCCAACAGTGCCCAGAAAGAAGGGGGAGCGGCCCGTCTGCTTGCCCCCCTTTCCCCGTCCTTGCACGGCATGTGCTCCTGAAATGAGGCCCTCCCTTGGGCAGTTCTCCTTGTGAGTAAACCACAGCCTTCCAGATACTGCTGGACTGCTGCTCCCATCATCCCTCAGCATAGGGTAGCTTGGCCACACTGATGAGAGCTGTGGTCCACCCCCTTCGGGGGGGAGGGGGGCGTGAGCATCTCCAGAATGCCCTCCCATTCAGCCACTGTCTCAACAGAATGCTGGCCAAGGGGGACCCAGGCTGCACCCCAGTCCCCCAAAGCCTGGGGAAATGAGAATAGGCTTGCTTGGTGCCGAAGAGCAAGAGGCGTTTTGCACTGCCAAGGGGCCCCCACTGCGAAGCCTTCCTGGGGGTGGCGGCCGTCTCCTCTGCTGATGGGCCATCCCAGAGAAGCGCCCTCGCTGGCAGCTCAGCGCACAAGTGAGCACCCGCAGATGGAGGCAGGGCCCTGCACCTTCCCAGGGAAACACCTGCGTCACGGACCAGGCGCCGGTGCAGGATTTGAGCATGGAGGAAAGGCACCCTGGGTGCCCCCACCCCGCTCCCCCGGGAGCAGCCCAGTCATCTCCAAACCCTCCTCCAAGGCAGCCCCCAAATGGGGCAAGGCACCTGGGAGAGAAGGAACTCCCGCTGCCAGGGTCACCTGCCGGTACCTCTGGCTTTATGGGTCCACATCCAGCTCAGCACAGGGGCTGAGTACCCCATCAGCACCAGTCTGACATCTGTAGAAATGTGCAAGCACGTGCATGCACTTTTGAGCACTCAATAGCACCCTATTATTAACCCAGCATCCTGCTTCCAACAGTGGGCAGCCTCAAGGAAGCAAGGCATACATACAATGGCCTTCGCAAGTCCACCAGACCCTGTGCACCGGAGAAGCATGTGGGAGCCAGAAGTCTACCTATTCTATGCCCACACAAGCTGCCAACCCCCCCCCCCCAACTGAGCCTCGGAACGCAAACGGCATGAAAAAGGAGGTAGTACTCGAGGGAATCGCTCCAGCAAGTGAGCCAAGCCACAAAGCAGTTGGCTGAGGAAGGAGGCAGGTCTGCTCTCTGGACCAGAAGGTACGTCCCCTTGCCATGACTGTGCAAAGTAGCCCCTCCCTGTCCCTGGGCTGAAGTCACACCAGCCGGTAGGTGGAGAGACCCCTTCTTCCTTGAGACTCAGAGAATAAACGCCCCCCAAAGGCCTCCGGACCCCAGCTCAGCTCTTCCCTGCAGGACTCCAGCTGCTTCACGGGAATTCTCAGCTGCGAAACCTCCCAGTCCTGAAGGGGCGGAGGGGGGCATGGAAGGGCCCCCACTGCTCTGGCATCACTGAGCTGAACTTCTGGGCAGGGATGGCATGGGGGGGGCAATACATGACTGCGCTCCAGTTCCCAGAGCCTCCCATGCCAGATCCCCCCAATCCCCCCCCTTCGGGAAAGTGGGTGAGCCTGGAATGTGATGCGACTTGGGCACCGAGTGAAAAGCACGCAAGGGAGAGTGGGCTGCAAAGGGCACCCTGATCAGCTGGGGGGGTGGACGGGGGGGGGAGCAGGGGCGAGAGAGAGGAGAAAGCTGAGCTGTGGACGGAGTGGAGGCGGCAAGGAGAGGGCCAACCAAGGAAGGCATGAGGAGCCGTTCCTGGCCTTATTGGGCAAAAGAATGCAAAAGGTCTGACTCCGCCGAGCAGTTTCCTTTCATGGCCCTGCAGAGGAAGCTCCGCGGCTGCCCGGCCACCGCAGAGGACAGGGAGGGGGCAGGTGGCCCCAGCCCCGGAGAGGGGCACACGCGCCCTGTGGGGCCGCTCCAGGGCAGCACTGGCCCCTGGCGCCCCGCTAGGTCCCTCCTGGCACCAGCGCAGCCCGGCTGGCTCTGCGGGAGGGACTGCCGCCCGTGAGGCTTCCCCGGCACACGCGACGGACCCTTCGTCGCTGAACCGCAGCGGAGGGCGACGTGGCAGAAGCGGGGGCCGCCAGGCCAGAGGGCCACGGGCAGGCGAGGCGTGCGGCGTCCCCAGGGGCTGTGCTCGGCCCTGCAGCATCCTCGCGCCGGCCCCGTCCGGCAGGCACGCGACTCGGACGGAGCACTTGGGGGCCCAGCTCTGTGTGTCGCCGTCTCCCTCCCCCTTCCCCCCAACGCCCCCCCAGAGGCATTCCAGGCCCTCCAGCCGGGTGGCCACAGCTGGAGCGGCAGCCCCGCCAACGTGCCCGGCCCGTGGCAGCCTTGTTCCCCGCGGGGGCCACCCCACACCGCCTGCATGGGGCAGCACTCCCCCCCCGCCGCCCGAACCGGAGAGCAACCGGCTGCTTTCTCACTTGCGGTACATTGGGAAGACTGGGGAAGAAGCATGGCAGTCCGCACTGATGCTCCCCTCGGAAACCCGCCCTGCGCATGGAGGCTGCGGAGTGCCTGGCACATCCTTGGGGAAACACAGAATAGCTTATTTGGTGCAGGATTCTGCTGCCCAGACGTCTCAGCTTTTATTTGAAAGAAACTCCTCAAGTTCCTAGCCCCTCTTATTACAGAGTTATGGCTGATCATGTACAGGAGATGCGCGCTGGACCTCCCAAGCCACAGATTTCCAGCAGTGGGGGGAAACTAGAATAGCGCACACAAGGCAGGAAATGCAGCACACTGTACAACGGGCCCTGGAGCTCAGGTTTCGCTGGGCAGAATTTCAATGCTTTCGTGGGCACAGGGGTCACCCTTTGCCAAAACGGAGCATTACAGCTGCAGGCCTCCCTCTGCAAGGCACACCGGCCACAGCTCAGCACATGCGCTGCATGTAAACAGTTCCAGGTTCAAGCCTCAGTTCCTCCAGGTACAGCTAAGAAGGACTTGCATAAAACTCTGGAAAGCCCCTGCGGGGGTAGCAACTGTTGAAGACTTTTTGCATGCCAAAAACCCACCATGTCTGCAAAAACTGCCTCCACGCCAACAAAAAAAATAGCTTTTAAAAAGCAGCAGCAGCAGCAGCCGCCCGAGGAGTCTCCACTTGCCAAAGTGCCCACGAAAAGGGCGACGCCAGGAGGACGCAAAGGCAAGGGGTGAGCCTGGCCACGGCCACGCGGCCGGCACCCCGCGGCACCCAGCTGTTCGGAGCCCCGAAGTTATGCCCCCAGCTCCCCCACAAGTGCCCAGGTGTCCAGGCACCCCTGCACTTCCCGCTATGGAGGGCAGGAAGAGAGCTTGGCCTAGCAGAGGGGCCGGTCTGCACAGTACGAAGACGAAGAGAGCGCGCCGCGAGGGGCCTTCCTCCTCGCCACGACCGGCAGCCGTGCACCAGCGGAAGGGCCCTCCGCCTGAGGCCGCCATCTGCTTTAATGGTGCCAGAAGGCTGGGGGGCCGAGGGACGGAGGCGGGGCCGGGCCTCCCTCAGCCTCCCCTCCCCCCCCCAGCGCACAAGCTCCCCCCCCTCACATCCCTTGCCCTCAACTTTCTCACACACTCTGCACAGTGGCCCTTTCAGCGTGTCCAGGCCGGGTCCCCAGTGCCCTCCTCACTGGCCCGCTGCCCCCTCACCGGCCGCAGCCTGAAGGGCGGAAGGGGCAGTCTGCCTTGATCTCCACCTTCGCTGATGCCCGTGAGGCTCGGCACGCACGTCCCCAGCCGCCCCCTGGCTCCCGGACGCCCATGCGCGCCCTCCTCCTCCCAGGGACTCCCTACCGTCTTCCTTCTCGCCTGCTGCGCTTGCTTCTTCCTCCAGGGCTTGAGGCACATGCTGGGGGACAGAAAGGGCAAAGAACAGCCATTACGCAGCGTCAGGGCTGCGCCCCCCAAAAGCAGGGCCACCCCGCAGCAGAGCATGACTGGCGAGGGCAAGAGCGGCCCTTGAAGTGGCGAGCTCCGTCGCTGCTGCTCCGCCGCGAAGGCCACTGATGCACCGGCGGGGCGGATGCCGCCCAGCGCACCTCCCTCCTTTTCCAGGGCGTAAAGACTATAAAGGCTGAGCCTGAACTTAGGGGCCAACGCAGAGACACGTGTGGGGAGCGTCTGCCCTGCGAGCTGCTGCTGCTCCAGGGAATTCGAGTCAGCCTGGACCGCCCCATCATGCTGAGTTCCATCAGCTGGACCCCACATCTCAAACGATATTTAGAAGCTCAAAACCAAAGGAAACGGTCCCTTTTGCCACCCGAAGGCATGCTGGCTCAGTGCGTGGCTCTTGGTGCGGCCTTGCGCACCGGGGAGAGCCCCCGCCGCCGCCTGCCAGCACCCGCGTGCCACCCCAGCCCGCCCATAACTCGCCCTGGGCAGCGCCACTTCCGCCGGGGGAGGCTGAGGGGGAAGCGGCATGGGGGGGAGCCAGGAGCAGGCCGCAGACCTCTGAACGGCGGCTCTGCTCGAGCCTTCCCCAAGTGGATGCTCTCCAAATCCCGGGGAGCACTGGCTGGGGATGCTGAGAGCTGGAGTCAAACACACCTGGGGGGCAGCAGGCGGGGGGCCGCTGCTCTTGCCTTGCCCCGTGTCTGTGGCAGAGGGAGCAGGTTCAGGCGCGCCTCCCCTCTCGTTCTCGTTCTCCTCGCTGGGCAGCCTTGGGCACGGTCCCTCTCCTGCGCAGGTACCTCCTCCGGCGGCGGGGGCGTCCGGCAACCCCAGCATGGCTGCTCCTTCAGGGGGCCCCAATGCCTCGCTGCCCTCCAGCGCCGCTGGGTCGTGCTCCCCCTCGGCAGCGGGCGGAGAGGCCAAGCCGGAATCACTTTCGTGGGAGCTGGCCTGGGGGCCCTGGGAGCCGGGCTCGGCGTCCAAGCTGCTCTCCGGGAACGAGGATGACTCCGAAGGAGGCTGGCGAGGGACAGGGTCCAGGAGCAGGAATGTCCCTGATGAGCAGGCTGCTGGGAAAAGGCAGAGCAGTGGATCAGGACCACAGGTGCGGCACAGCGGCGCAGAGAGCAGGTTACGACGCACTAAAGATGGGCCTCCCCAGCGCCAGGCCCATCCGTGCTCTGGGCCTCTGTTCCCACCACCTCCAGCCAGCGCGGCTGATGGCCAGCAATGCCGTGAGCTGAACGTCTGGACGGCAGAGGCCGCGAGATGCCGCGCGAGAGGCCTCTCTCTTGGATCCTGCCGGGACATCAGGGCGGTGGGGCGATGCCAGCCTCCTCCACAGAGCCGTGGCGAGGGTGTGTGGGAAATGGTTGTGCGCTGCGCACTCGAATGTGCAGCCTGCACACTGAGGAGCATTAATGTGGCCCTTGGAATTGCGTACCCTCGAAAGGGGCCCAGTCCCCTGCACCATCAGTGCTGGCTCCCCCGCCCCCTCCCCACGGCTGCACGACATGCTGCCCGCCCTCAAGCCCTCGCTCCGTCAGCCCCGGCTTCCCACGCAGAGCCCCCGGCAGGGCCGCCGCTGCACACCGCACACACCTGGCGCACCCTTTCGTCTCAGGCGCCTCCCCCCACCTGCCCCTCAGCGGCCCCCCTCCTCTGGGCAGCAGCACAGTGCTCAAGCACGCGGAGAGCGCCGTGGCCGTGGCCTCACCCACCTGGCACCTCTGCCGGCTTCGTCTCTCCCTGCTGATGGCTCCGCAGCTCCCGGATCTGGGCCCTGATCAGCTCCCGCTCTGCTGCCTCCTGTGCCTGAGGAGATGGGAGACAAAGACCCAGAGGCAGTGAGTAAGGCTCCGAGTGAGTAGGGAGAGCTTGCACATGGGTCATTTCTGCAAAAACACCCGACTGGCCAGGCTTGCTGAGCGGTTTCCCCTCGCACAACACCAAAGGGGTCAAGGCGGCTTTTGCGCAGGGTGAACTTTCCGGGGTTGGAGAGCACAGCAACACGGACCTGTGCGGGCAATTCGGAGCACCAGCGGGGCTAAACCTGTGTGGATTAAACAATCCAGATTTTATTCTGCTGTGAAGTGGGAGCCTTCCACATCTGCTGGGATGTACTGCAAATTACAACACTCCAGACTGTCTGGTAGGGTGTAGCATCTCGCAGCGAGAAGCCGAGGCAGACAAAGGTTTGGCACAAGGCCGCCACTGGGGGCAGCATCGCACACGCCGGCACCGCACGCCCACTCCCACTCCCGTTCCCGTTCCCTTCCCCTTGTCGGATCCGTCTCGGGGTGCTGCCCTGCCCGCGACTCCGGAGCCAAGAATGCACACCTTGAACAACTGGACAGCCTGACCGCCCGTGTGAGGGCGGGAGCAGTCGCCAAGCAACGAGAAGCAGCCCCAGAAAAGCCACTTCCAGCCCAACTTTGGGTTGCTAGGCGACGGTGGGTACCAGTCCCTTTCTCCAGTCTTGACTGTGCGGAGATTTCTGAGGCGGGGAAAGGCTGGGAGAGATCGTGCGGCAAGGGGAACCCCGTGCACGGACGGCCTCTGCTGCTGAACCCATGGAGGCTGCACAGCCCGTTCCGTCCACCCAAATGCTCCTCCACACTGCCCCCCGAAAGCTTTCTCCCCCCACAAAGAAAGCTAGCATGGCAAGGGGGTCCCATCCTAGGTAATGCGGAGATTTGGCAGCGCAACCTTTGGATGAGCTTCCGGACCCGAGCTTCACCCCCAGGCTGGAAATCACCACCTCTGCCCCAAGCCCGGCCCCCCCCCCCCCCCGGTGGTATGCTCCACCGCCTCCCCCCCGACCTGGGTTCAAAGTGCCAGGGCTCCTATCCCCCGCTCCTTCCGCACACGGACTGTGCCAGAGGCCTGCCAAAGCTTTCCCATTATCATGCGCCTCAAACGCTCGTCGGCCACAGGCGCAAGTGGGCAAAGCGCCAGAAGGGGGACCTCTGCTCAGAGGAGCCCTGCGCCTCCCTGCTACCTCGTGAGGAAGGCCGTAAAGACCAGGCGTGCCTGCGCGGCGCTTTACTGTTCACCTGTCTGGCTGATTTCTACGCAGCCGAGCCGCTGAGGCATTCCATGATTACAACTCCCCCCAGTTTTCCCCTTCGAAGAAGCCTCTGTCATGGTAGAGGGCAGGTATTCAGGGCAAAGCCACAGCAGGGGTAGGCGCCTTGCCCACACCCCCGTCTCTGCATCGCACCCTGTCATGTTCTTCTCCACGGGCACAAACCGCTTCAGAGGCTGCCTGTGATGTGAGCAGGGGAACGAGCCCGGAAGCAAAGGGTTCACCCCCACCGCCAGCGGGCCCAATCCTGCTCCGCCCCCACCCTCATCTGCCGCAGCTAATGGCTGAAGGAGACCAAGACACAGGTCTGGCTTGGTCAGAGGCAGGCAGGAGGTGAGCACACCGGCTCTCCAGGCAGAATACAGCCCCTGCGCTTAGCGGGGTGGGAGCAAAGAAGAGATTCCCCCCCCCCCATTGTATGTACAATGCAAATGTGGAGGTCCTTTTGAGAGAAGAGGAAAGATTTGGCAAGCCTCACACCATTTCTTCCTGGGAAGATGCCGCCATCTCATGGAGGATCCAGGAAGTGTCGCCACCCGGAAGCCGGCAAGCACAACTGGTCAGCCTCACACAGGGCCGCCCGCCCACCCACCCACCCTCCCTCCCCTGAGCTGCCCACCTGGCTCAACCCCAGCAGAGTCCTGAGCCAGCAGCGTCTGGCACCGGTGGTGCCAGGAGCACCACGCCTGCAGGAGTCCGCAGACATCCTCAGGCACCCCTGCGCAGGTGGGCGAGGCCCCTTCACTGCAGCTGAGATCGTATGTGTGCAGTGCGAGACCTTGTGGCCATTTTGCAGCCCCCGCAACACAAACAAAGTGGCGCTTTGGCAAAAAAAAATTTAAAAAAAGCCAAGGCACACGGGCCGCACGGGCCATGTCCAAACGAGGAATCCATCGCAGAAGCTCGCTGGGCGCCCGGCCGTGAATGCTCGACTTCCCTGCAAAATTTGCTGGCGGTTCCCCGTGGACGGGGCGGGGGAGAGCACGTGCCTGCGGTGCCCAGAAGTGGCCCATCCCACCCTCCGGATCCCTTTTCGCAGCAGCTGCCACATCGAGCGGGAGAACAGAGGGAGCAGAGCGTGCTATGCAGGCTCACGTCCTCCGGGGAGCAGGAGAGGTTCGCCTAAAGGACTGGACAAACCAACCAAGTCCATCAAGAGCTGCTGTCCACCCAGGCAAAGGGAGCCCCCATGCTTAGGGGAGCAGCGTAGCTCCCACTATTGGCCGCAGGGATGGGAGGGCAGCCCCTGCCAGGCCGGCCCATGGGCTTCTCACTGGGGCCCCCAGGTGGCCACTGCAGGAAGCGCTCCATTTGTGCTTCCACGCCTCGCGACTCGGCGCCATCCGACTGCCAAAGCCCTCGGCACTGTTCACAGGCCACTTGGGTGTGGAGAGAGGAGCAGCAGATGCCCCCTGCCAGCTCCCCTTGGATGATGTGCCCCCCAGCTCAGCTACGGCCTATCAGAAGCGCCACAGAAACCTCAATGGCACGATCCAGGCGCCTAGGAAAGGGCAGCCTGAGCCCGGAGGGAAGCGCTGGCGAAGGCCTGCATCACCCAGCGCCCCCCTCCTCCTCCTCCCGCTCTCGCTCCTGCTCACCTCTGTGTTACTTGCATCTGCAGAGCTGTCTTCCTGTCCCTTGGACTCCAAAGCCTCCTTTGTGTTCCTCCGGTTGTAGTAACCCTTCCCTGCCAAGGTGGCGGCTTGGGAGAGGAAAGGGAAAACTCAGCATGCCAGTTAATCCAGCCCCGGGAGCCTCGCTTCAGAGGGAGAGGGGAGAAAGGGCCTCCCCTCGGTGTGGAATCGGAGTTCCACACCATTCCGTGGAAACACGCCTGAGCACACGCATCTCCCTTTAAGCTACAGTGTGTTTGTACCCTCGATTTCTTCAGCGCGCAGTTTGCGGATGGCGGCACGGATCAGTTTGCGCTCTTCATATTCACTGGCCCCTCGCAGCTGCAAGAGAAAGGAAAACTCAGCCATGCCCACAAAAAAGGGCCCGCTTCTTTCACACGTGCGCATGCATGGGCCCCTCAGCGCTTCCTGCAGATTTCTACACACCTGCTCCCCCTCCCTCAGCGAACCACTGTGCAAGACTTTCATTTTTGGCTGCCGTGAACCATCCAAGCTGATGCTAAACTGCTCCTTTTCACTGCTTTGGAGGACAGGATGCGAGGAGAGCTACTTCTTTATCATTTAGTTTGCTTGAACTAAACATTTCTTCACAACACACTGTTCTCTATCATCTGACCAATGAACATTTATGAAGATGAGAGCATCATATTTTCTCAAAGGAAGGCTTTTAAAGTGCCACTTCTGACAATTGCATATTTTTTCCTTTGTCGCTGTTGTTAGCAAGATAAAAATTAAAAGCATCTACTTATTTTTAAAAAATCAGCACCACAACCAACTTACAGGGCTCTATGCAAAGTGACCGACATGGGATGCATACACGATACCTAAAGCACACTTTTGCGTGCCCAGCGATCAGAACAGAGGCCTTCCCGGCTCCGGGCTCGGCTCCCTCCTCCCGCAGCAGAGGCAGGGCTGTGCCGGCCACTCACCAGGGTCGTCAGCTGCTCCACGTCCTGCATGGCCTCGAGCTTCCTGGAGAGAACATCCAAGGACCTCTGCTGCCGCTCCTCCTCCTCCCGCCGCCGGGAACTGACGGAACAAGGGCCGGGAGGCCGGCAGTCAAGGGCCGGCCACCGGCATGCAGAGCGGGCCGGGAGCACGGCCGGGCTGAGGCGAGGGGCGCCTTGGGGGCTGCCATCCGCCTCTCCAGCGGCTGCTTCACTGGGGCAGCACCCAGTGCTCGGAGAAGCTGCCCAGTCAGCCGGGGCAGCAAAAGGGGAGGAGGGGAGGGGGACCTCCCAAGCATTTCCCGATTGCAGCAGGCAAGCAGGGGCTGCGTCCGCCCGGCCAGCCCGGGACGGAGCGTGGGCAAAGGGCGAGGCACGCAAGCCCCACAGCCCTCATGCATCTGCCCCTCACACGGCAGCACACACGCCCCCTCCACTGTGACATCATTTCACTTTTAGGGGAAAAGTGCTTAAAAGTCACCATTTGCTGCAGGAATGTGGCAGAAGACCAACACGGAGGTTTAGGATTGGCAGATTTCGCCTATTTGGGTTGCGCAGCACAAGGAAAAAAAGCTGCTGCTGTGTCTTCGTGGGGGAGAGGGCGGGCAGCGGCAGCTCCTGGGGTGGGAATCGGCCCACGAGGCCTGGGGTTCCCCGCCTCAGAGTCGCCCAGAGACCCGCTGTGACTGCCGGGCAGCTGCCTGGCTAAAGGGGTGCTAACTCAGCGGCCCAGGGCAAGGCCCCACCCCGCCCCACACTCACCGCAGCAGGTTCTCCTTGTTCTCCTGCCGCTCCGTCCGGAAGCGCTTGGACGCCAGCGCCTCCTCATCGCGCTCCAGCTCCTGCCGCCGCAGCTCCCGGATCGCGGAGCGGATCTGCCGACGCTCGGCCAGGTCCAGCGTGGCCTCCAGCTGCAAGGCGGGGAGGGGGAAGCAGAGCGAACGGGGGTCGCTTTGGGACAAGCAGCGCGGTGGCAGAGGCCAGTCGGGCCGGGGGCACTCCGGCCGCCTCCGCTTGCCCACCCCGGGAGGCCAGCCGCGCACACAAAGGCCGCAGTGTCCCTCACACAGAGCGCGCTGCTGTCCCTGCAGCCAGGCATGTGGGCTGGTGACTCATACACACAGCCGCCCGCACCTTGGCCCGGGCCCAGGAGACCCCGGCCCGGCACAGGCCACATGGGAGGGGGAGACTCCCCCAGAGTGTGCATCAAAACAAGGCAGCCAAACTGGGGGCTGCAAACCCGAGGACCCCGTGCAGCACGAGGGACAAAGGGGCCCCCTCCGCCTCCTGTCGCAGACCACGTGCTGGTCGCAACCCGCGTGGAGGCCCCGTGGGGTTCGCTGCCAGATGACTCGCTGCTGGGCAGCTGCTCCAAGAGGCTGCGTGAAAGGCGGGCCGGCACGCGAGGAGGAGTGGCCGGGGGACAAAGGCCCACTGTGCCAGGCGTGCGTGGGCAGCCCCACAGTCGCTTCCTGGTGGCCCAAGCCGGGGTGACTCTCCCATTCTGGGTGCACGGCAGAAGCAAGCAAACTTGCCTCTCCCAGCTGTGCTGGCTGGGGACAATGGCGTCTATAGTCTGGCACACCTGCAAGGAGCAGGGCTGGAAAGGTGGCTCAGAACCTGCAACACAGCGAAAGTCACCCGGCCCCCTGGAGCGGGTCTGCCACACCTTGGGGCTGGGGCCAAAGGGCACTCCCCGGGGGGGGGGATCTGGGGCCCTCTCCAGGCCAGGCCAACGGTAATCGCAGGCCTCTCCATTCAGCTGCCTGGATAGGTGGAGCCTCCACATTCAGAAATAGCCTACCATGGAGGGCCACGTGCCGGGGCAGGAGGGAGCCACAAGCAGGCCGCGTGGGCCAGCCAAGGCTACCCAGAGGCACGCCAGCTCAGCGCCGACACACAGAGCCAGCGGAATGTCTTGAAGGAAGCAGAAGCAGAAAGCTGGGCGGGGATAAGAACGTGGCCTCCCGGAGCGCCAAAAGCAGGGCCGAGCAGCCCCACGTCCCACCACTAAGGGGTTCCAGGGCGCTTGCAGAAGCATCGCTGAAGGAGCGAAGGACGGCAGTGCCGGACCAGGTGCTTCCGAGGTTGGGCTCCAGGCTGGAGTTCAGCGACGGGGCCGGGCCGGGCGTGGGCTGAAACGATCCGCTGGCAGCTAACACGCTGGGCTCCTTGGAGGCCGCTCAGGGCAGAACGTTCCAGGTGCGGAGGGAAGGGTTTGACGAGCAAGGTGGAGGAGGATGGGCGGCACCCGCTCCTTCCTCTCGAACGGAACAGCACTTGAAGCCACGGGCCTCGGACGTGCCAGGGGCAAGCGGCCTCGGGTGCAGCTGTCCTGGATGTGGAGCGCGCCTAGTGAGGCCTACGCCAACGGACGCCAGCAGGGGCGGGCGGGCGGGCAGAAGCGGCTCGAAGAGGATGGGAGGCGGGAAGCTGGCCAAGCACGATAATGCCGGGGGGGGGCGCCACCCTATTTGCATAATTTATGGCGGGGGCAAAATTCAGCTCTTCACACCACAGGGGGTAGATTGCTTAGGCACAGGAGCAACATTGCCATTCCTGCTACTGTTGTTTTAAAACCCGGGCGAAGGCCTCCGAGAAGGCAGCCCCACCATCGCATCCCCCTTTGCTCCCGCAGAGACCCCCACCATCCGCTGTGCGGCATGGCCTGGCTGGGCCTCCGCAGGCCAGGGGCCGGCCTTCCGCAGAGAGGAGAGGAGCCAGCGCCCTGCAGCTCCTGCCCAGCCGAGGGAAAGAAGCTGGGCAAGGGGGCACGAGCCCCCGGTGCGACACAGGAACTGCCCAGCGGACTGCTGGCCAAGCCCCTCCTCTGCGGCCGAGGGGCCACACTGCTGGTGCCAGATGGACAGTTGTGCCGCCGCGGGCAGGAAGCGGCCCGGCCTGGCCCAGCCCGGCCCGAACTGCCGCTCTGCCCGGCTGCCGGGATGCTCTGCCGGCACACGCCCGGCAAAGAGGAAAGCCTCGCGCACGTGCTGCGTGGACAGACGGCGGCGTGCCGTGCTGCCGCCTGGAGCTGTGCAGGGGCAAAGCTGCCTCTGTTCTCGCGACCACCTTCCCCGGGGACGGGCGCGGCCCTCCATCAGCCGATGCTGCCCGGCCCAGCGCGTCCCTTAGACCAGGGTGACCAGCAGATGCCTGGTACCACAACTCCCATCACACCAGGCAGTGTGGGAGTTGCAGTCCGACCCCCAGAGGGCGTCAAGTTGGGAAGGCTGCTCAGTGCTCAGCAGCAGACACATGGGTGGTCACCGAAATCCCTGCAAGGTAGGACAGCCCCCCCGCCCGATGCCTCGGGGCCAAGGCCCAGTGGAGGCGGATTGCGGAAGCCACCTGCTGACGCGGGGCCCCGGCGAGGCAAGGCGACGCTGGAGTGCGCGGCTCCCACTTCCGCTGCAAGGCCAACTGTCCGCTGCAGCAGCACGAGTCCCAGCGTGGCAGGCGAGCCGAGGGAAGGGAGCCGCCTCCCTCGACCTGGTGCCCTCTGGAGGTTCGGCACTCCAACTCCCGGTGCCGCTGGCCACTGGCTGTGCTGGCAGAGGTTAAATAGCCAAGACCTCAGACTGACACCAGGAGCGGGAAAGCCGGGTGAGGGTTTGGGAGGAGGCCCAGATGCCACGTCACATGGCATGAGTTTGCATCAGCGCTTCTCTGTCTGTCTCTCAGGCTTGTCTTAGCCTACCTCACAAGGACGTTGTGGCAGTGAAACAGAGTAGCAGCCAGTTCAGAAGCCAAGCCCTCCTCATTTCCCTGCCCCCTCCAGGACGGGTGTCCGGGCCGTTCTTGGCATTCCAGCTGCACCTCTCGTGCGCTCCACGGCCCTCATCTGCCCACATGCAGCTGGGCCATGATCATTTCCCGGCTGCAGGTGGCGTCAGGACGCTGCTTCCCAGCATTCAGCCTCGCCAGCTGCACTTCCTGCTGCCTTTTGTCTGGGCCGGGAAGGGTCCCAGCAGCCGCCGAGTTCGGAGGCACCACAGGCAGGAGGAGCAGGGAAGGGACTTCCCGTGACAGCCAAGCCCTGCAGAGAACACCAAGCACCCCCCCACCCTTCCTCAGATAACTCCGGCCAGCCAGAATGGCAGGTTTTGAGCTTGGGGGCCAGATGCACGAAGTGACGGCGGGCAGAAAGCCGCAGCACTCAAAAGCGAAGAGCGACTCACACAGGCCTCAAAAGCAGCCGTGTCTGCAGCCCGACTGGCATTTGGCATCCAGGCGATCCCGACCCTCTGTTCACTTGCCTGTGGCACTCAACTCCTACTCTTCCTCCAAGGCACCTCAGGAGGTGCACATGACCTCCCATCTTCTCTGTTTTATCCTCACACCAAGCCTGCGAGGTAGGCTAGGCTGGGAGCCAGGGATGCCCAGCATCGCCCAGCAGATTTCTTGGCTGCCTGGGTACAGTAACCAGGTCTCCAGTGCGCCATTGGCTTTGGCCGCACACCTGCTCTTGATGGTGCACAGGGGTCCCGAAGGTCGTTGGCTTGGCCCCCGAGCCGCTGCTTCCCACCTGGCCCGGCTGGTGGACCTCACGCATCCAGTAAAAAGCAAAGACGGGCCCGCAGCCTGCTCTTCCAGCGGCAGAGAATCCTCAGGCGCTTTCCATTTCCTCTGCCCCTTCTGTTCCGAGAAGCTTTTGAAAGACTACAAGAAGCTGCAACACCAAAGCACCCTCCCCTTCCAGATGCTTGGACTTCAACTCCCATCAGCTCCAGCCAGTACACCCCATGGCCAGGGATGCTGGGAATGGAAGTCCCAAATATCTGGAAGGCATCAGGTTGGAGACAGCTCCTCTGAAGTCAACCACTGGCGGCTGGCCCAGCCTCCTCTGTGGACTGGCTGCCCTCTTCCGTTCACCCTCCCCTCCAAGCACCTTCCTCAAAGAAGCAGGGAAGCCCACACAGGGATGCGCAGGTGATTCTCCCCGCCCAGGTGGCACAGGACAGCAGCCACGTCAAGCACAGAGCACCAGTCAAGCACTGGAGAGGCATTCCAAGCACTTCCTGCCTGCCTTCACAACAGCCCTGCAAGGCAGGCTGCCTTATGATATTCACGTTGCCAATTTCAGGGCGGGCAGGCCAGGGACCGGGGCCAAGTCATAGGAAGCGGATCACTTGCAGCCACTGACATCTCGTGCAGGAGGCAGTAAGAATCCTCGCTCCCAGGCTCAGTCGGCCCAGTGCAGCATGCCCCACCCCGGCCCCTTCTCCACCACCTAACCTGAACAGCACCTCCGCCCATGTGGCACGGAGGCAACTTGCTGAGGAAGCAGCCGTCCATTGCCAGCTGCAGCCGCACCGCAGCCCTTGTTGCTGGCCTTGGAAGCACTGCGGGGAGCCAAGCTGCAGGCAGACATGTCACAGTGGCATTTCCTCCGGAGGCCGAGCCCGGCAGCCACAACAGTAAACGTGCCTCCCCAGAGCCCCGTGAGGACGGCGGCACAGGATTTTCCTGCATGCGGCGCATCAAGGACTGCTGGCTTCACGGGCGGCCATAGCATTCTGAGGAGGGAGGCGCCTCTTCGCAAGGCTTGCGCGTGTGGCCCACCTGCGAATCCCAGGCCCTGGGAAGGCCCAGCAGGGAGGCCCGAGGGGCAGGGCCCCAGGGCCACCCCGGCAACCACGGGGGAGAGCCAGAGAGACTTTGCTTCGGCTGCATAGGGTGCTTCTCATGCAACAGCTACTCGCCCTAGGCGAGTGAAGCATCCCAGCAGGGCAAACGGGCGCCAAACTGCGAGGCCAAGAGAAGGCCGCTTCCCCACGGCTGGCACTGCCCCCTCCATGACGCAGGGGCACCCCAGGGAGCGCAGCATCGCCAGCTCCTCATCGGCCTCAGGGTGGCTGGACGCACAGGAAGGCGGCTTCTGCCGAGTCTGCCGCTCCGTCCCTCCAGG